TTACTATTAAAAGTGGGGTAAACATATAAAGTCGAATATACAATATTACTTTTAAAAGATAAAAAGCAATACAGGAAATAAGATATTATACAGAAAGTACCACAACATAAATATAAAAATACTGACTCAATAGCCCTTCGATGCACAACAACTACATCTGCAATCTTCTGAGAAAAAAGATACTCTCTTCTAGGATTAGTTAACATACTTATGTCGAACACGGTTTCCACTCGATGGCTATATACATATAAATCAATTTAAAATAACTTCAATATTAAAGCAAGTGCTGAAAGAACAAATACGTCTAACAAAATACCTTGCAATTTTGAGCAGTGCACACGTATGCAGAATATATATTACAAATGTGATACTGGTGAAATGCAATGTAGTCATTCCTATGTACATAGTTAAAAATTCGTGTAATAGCATAACGTACAGATATTTCTCCTTGTTGACAAAATATTCCACGACTACGAAAAGTTCACAGGATCGTGATTCGTTCAATGGTAATATAACATTAAGAATCAGTGGCCAAAATTGTAATACCACCGTAAAAAATAGGCTAGTGATGTGTACAGCTGAAAAATGTTAAGTTCAATTTAAATCCATTAACATAAATAATTACACATTAATTGTTAAAAAATGCAATCTTCTTAATTTTGTTAGTAATATGCAAAAAAATAATGTTATATATTATCATGAATTATATGATACATAATAGGCGCGCTTGCGATAATCAACATTCTTACCCGTTAAAATTATTGTGAAAAGCTTTGCGTTGCTAGCGTACTTTTCTATAATATCAATTTCCAATTTACTTTTCAATAAACTCCAATCATTTCGGATTCGCTCCAGCAATTGCTTCACCTGTTTATTTTATTTTCAATTTTTCTGAATCATTTAAATACAATTTTATTTATAAATATTAAAATGTAATGTTCAAATAAAATACTTGTCAGACTTACAGTGCCCGCCTGAACCGCAAAAAAACAATACTTTATCGTGACAAATATAGCTGGAAAGACACTCCACATAATCTTTAGAAAAAGATCTCTATTAAATTGCATTGTAACAAATGGCAACAACTACAAAAATAAACAACATACATATTGATTATAAAATATTTCTATATATTCATCAAAATTAGGTTTATGCACATTTTATTATAGAAAAAAATTTTTTTAAATATATAGATAAATTTTAATTAAAACTAGGTTGTACAGTTTTTCCCTGTTATATAATAATTACATAATAATGTAAACTGCTACTTTTTTTAAAACATTTCTGCTTTTTATAATAATAAAGATACAATCGGTTCTTCTGTTTATTTCATACACATACACATACATTACATTATCAATTGTTAAAATACAATTTACTTTGTA